CCTTTGGGAAATAACAGAGTTGTCTGGTTTCTCTCATATTTAATAAAATTTTTCTTTATTAATCCTAACATTATAATGTCCTCACACATTAAATGCTACATTTGGTAGCAGCGGATGCTTCTTTCATTTCCCTTTTTTTCTTCTTCTTGAATTTTTCTTGCTTTTTTAAAGGAAATTCTTCTTTCTTCTCTCTTCTTGAGTAATTTTCTTCTCTCTTCTTTGCCTCTACCACTCCCATATCTCACGAAGGTTCGCCCAAGGTCTCACAAGAATCTCCGAAGGTATACAAAGGTTACACGAAACAAACTTGAGATCATTTGAAAAGGCATTGCAAAGAAAACACAACCATATCACAAAGGTTACACAACAGGTCAAAGGGAAGGCCACGTCTAAAGGTTATACCAGGTTTCATAAAAAAGATTTACAAGGTTATACGAGGTTTTATACATACATAATGAAGGTCTCTTAAGATTTTCTCTAAAAATGACTTACTAAAAATTCGCCAAAGGATCTATAAAGGTTTCACGAAGGTAGTGCAAAGATCTCACGAGGGTTACACACAGATCTACACCAGGGTTACCATCCACAAGGGTAAAATATTATTATTTGCTTGAGTAATTTCATAAAGCTATTACATAGCTGTCGACGACCTTGCATATGCTGGTTAAGGGCTGGTCAGTCATATAACATCTAGGTTTTACCTATTTGTAGGATAATGTTTGAGGCTATAGCATTTTATAAAATTATCAAAGTGATTAATATTATTTTATAATTGATTGCTTTATATATATTGGTGTTATACTTATTTTTTTTGCGTGATTATACCCAATTGTATAATGAATCTTGTGGTTTGAAAATTCTGAAATTGATGTTAGTGTGACAACAAGGGTCCACTGAGCATCACCACATTGTTCCTTTGTCACTGGCCTACAGAGCATCATAGTGATTTGATACAACATTAATACAGAACAACACAAAACACAACAGCTTTATTCATTCTCTAATACTTCTACATCTGGGAGAGAACTCACATCTTCAGGTACAGGATTGGAAAAGTTGCCATTAGAAATGTGCCACTCAAAATTGTTAGGATCTTGCCCAGGATCTGTACCAGGATTCATGAAGGCCCAGGTTTCATTCAACACCCACTTGAAAGGATTCTCTTTGGTATCCACAACCCAAAGAATCAACCGCTTGCTGGAAAATTCTTCAAACCCTTTCTCTAATCTCACTTCTAACTTGTCCACATGGTCACGCAGAGAGGTTATCTCTTGTCTCAAGGCTTCTTCCTGGATTAACCTATAATGGAGTCTATCGGCATTTACTTTCAGGAAGGTCTTGATTCTCTGTGCATGTTTGGTTATCACTTTCTGGTCTTTCACCCTGACAGTGGACAGAATTCTCTTGTATTCTTCATATTGGGCATGCAGTTTGGAAATCTTCTCTTGGAGTTCTGTCAATTGCTCTAGCAATTTCACCAAGGGTTCTTGATGTTCAGGGTAATCACAGGCAGCAATGGACCGATGAAGGATCTTTATTTATTCTTGGAGGATAATGATGTATCCAATCATAGCATTTGGATATTGGGCAGCATAAATCATTCTGTTGGTGCGAGGCATTTTTCTTGAAGTTTCTTGGTAATAATTGTAATGAATTATTGAGAAAATTTTTCATCAGGACACTGTGCAATAAATACAAAAATTCTTGAAATTTTTGCGTCAATCAATAATTTTTGGGGTAATTGGAAAAGGCTACAACACATGATTACAACAATGACAACACATGACAACAATGACACCACATGGAAATGACAATAACAACACATGGCAACAACAATGAACAATAACAACACATGGTAACAACAATTGGAACGTGCACAACACATGGCAACAATGAAAAACAGGAATGTAGATCAATGATACAACTTGCTAAATTGGGATCAACTATGACCTGCAGGACATGACAATCAAATTTGTAACACGATTATGACACAACAAAAATGGAAATTTGATTGACAGGGGAAACCAATCAATGACACTCTCACTAATGAATTGCTCCATAGGTATTTTAAAGGCTTAGGACGAAATATAAACTACTGTATCACGTGACACGAAGGTATAACACTACAAGGTATCGCGAAGGACACCAAGGATGAATCACTATTGCAATATAGGACCGCGAAACGTTACACAACGTACTACGAACACACAACACATTGGTACAACGTCACATGAGATTGGAACAAAGGTTGGGACAATGGACACGAATCTAAACCCCATGGTATAAGTCTGGACAGCATTTCGATATAGGATTCGAATATAAGGCTGGGCGCAGCATCAACCTTTGGATGGATAAACACCATCTGGTATTTTAATCTGCGAAACGTGACACGACCGTACAATATACCGTACTAGGACAGATAACACACACAACCGAGAAACGTAGTACGAAGCTCCGGACGACACCGTAACACGAGGTTACCACTACGCCGCCGGAACGCCACCATATGCTCCGGATACTGTCGGAACAAGAGGTTGCCGCAGTACCGCCGGAAGGATGACACTAGCCCGGGACACCACTGGAACAAGCCAATGCCGACGTAACACGAGGTTGATTCCGCATCGCCGGGATGACGTTATATGCGCCAGATGCCGCAGCAATACAGGATTGCCGCCACACTGCTGGGACGCCGCAGTATAGCAGCGTACAGGACGCTACAATACGATACTACGGCAAAGGATGACGCCGTATGATACCGTACAACATGCCGTAATGATGCCACAGTACCAGCCACCGCCTCCGCCGCAATATAATTAGCCGCCGTAAGCCAGTATACGACGCCGCAGTTGATGATACATGAAACGCAGCTGAAATCGATGCCGCCACCAACCACAGTGTGCCGCACTATTCCCGCCGCAGGAAGTACTATCACAACTGCCACCGCAACAAGCCACACGGATGCACCACAGTATAGGTCACGCCGCAATGTAACACGAAGCGCGAAAGTATGATACAGGAAAAACATGAAGCAAAACGTCGTTAGAATTGATGAAACGCCGTATAACGTAACACAGACGACGCTACACGAAGCCACAAGCCACCGAAGCCAACGCCACTCACCATTGGATACACCTATACACTAGCCGCACGACATTATATAAGCCACATCTCCGCCTAATTATGTCAAAATGGCCAAAATTTTTTTTGAGGTCATTGAGGACAATGACTTTTTAAGGAGGGGAGAGTGTAACAATACAAATGGTGAAAGGAGTGACACAATATATGTCACACAAGTGGCACAGACAAGCCAATAGAGGGAG